TGCCTTGAATTTTTGAGTTGGCTGAACATTTTTTTTTTACAGTGGGTTAATCTAACTTGTATTAGTGTTGCCTTAACTCTTAAGTCAAAGTTAGCTGAACCTCTGTTTATAGGTAATTTGTTGAACTTTTGTAACTGAGTTGACTTAACTCAGAAATGTATTGCAGCATGTTGCCTTGAATTTTTGAGTTGGCTGAACATTTTTTTTTTACAGTGGGTTAATCTAACTTGTATTAGTGTTGCCTTAACTCTTAAGTCAAAGTTAGCTGAACCTCTGTTTATAGGTAATTTGTTGAACTTTTGTAACTGAGTTGAGCTTAACTCAAAAATGTATTGCAGCATGTTGCCTTGAATTTTTGAGTTGGCTGAACCTTTTTTTTTTACAGTGATAGGTTAATCTAACTTGTATTAGTGTTGCCTTAACTCTTAAGTCAAAGTTAGCTGAACCTCTGTTTATAGGTAATTTGTTGAACTTTTGTAACTGAGTTGACTTAACTCAGAAATGTATTGCATCATGTTGCCTTGGATTTTTGAGTTGGCTGAACATTTTTTTTTTTTACAGTGTATTGTCTAAGTCGTCATGTTGTGGTGTAAGACTTATCCAAGACTTATAGTATCCAAATGTTCTTATATAATGCTCTCATTTATGAAAAAGGATAATATTGTGATTTGGTATTTTCTCTACATCTGCTACATTTAGTTTCAGTCTGTTACTATTTATTGTTCTCACTGTGCCTTAGGAAAGGATCAAATCCCATGTTTGATATTTAGTTTCAACACATTAAAACCCACAAGACATGACAAAAACATGTAATCTCCATGCACACAGAACAGGAGGCAGGATTCTGCTACCTCTGTGGCCAGAGCTTGAGTCTCCACTGCTGGATTTACTCGCTCGGTTTAATTGATCGCTTGGTTATACATAGTTCTAGATTGTCGGACCAGGATTTAGCTTATTCCCCTTGTGGCCTGTACTACGAAGGGGGTTTAATCAAATCAGACTTAACCCAGAAATAATTTGCGAATGCGGGCTAGACAAAATCGGGTTGTCTCAATCGGTGCTAATCAGTACATGACGCCAGTTACATCAGTTGATTTGTTACATTGGTGTTAACCTAATTGGAGTTTGTGCACATTCACATAAATGGAGCAGGTTCGGCAGTGCAAGTCACTGTTTGACTCATGGCGCGATCTCCATATTTCACGGAGGAAGACTGCATGTTTATTATGGAGGATTATGAGGAGTTTAAATCAACGCTGCAAAGAAAGTCCAATACCACTGCAGCCAACAAAAGCAGGCAGGCTTGTTGTCAACGTATTGCCAACCGAGTAAATGCATAAGTACATTTTCATGGTCATAAAACGTGGTTTAAAATATCTCACGACTGAGTATTAGACTGTGAAGTGTTGTCTGAAAAGAATTGAAATACTGTTAATAAATACCGAGGCTCAAAGATGTGACACAATTCAGAAGTAAGCCTATTATTTGCTGGTAAGTAATGTATTGCTCCCCAAAGTTCCATTTCTGTGATGTTACTCATAATGTAAACCTAATGTTAACAATAACTTAACTGATCCGATTTCTAATGCAATAGTAATGGAAACCGTACATGGCAGCAAGTCAAGATGAAATATTAGAACATCATATCAAGTGGTAGGATATGTATTTATATTTCTACTCATTATGAAAGATTTGTTGTGTCTAGTCTCCACTTAATAGTGTGTTTCTATGTTTTACAGCTAATAAAAAGGTGTCCGTTCATATGACACTTAATAGAAGGTGAGCCACTGTTTAACAAACAATTAAATGATTTACAACAGGACAAAACAGAAGCATATGTGTAGTGAGAAAACGACTAGGAACCTGTCACCGCGGTTAAGTTAGCCTCATATTTGATATTCAGTTTCCTGACTTTAATAACTTTTAACGGAAGTAAGGTGGGGCATTTGTAATGACAGAATTGTGATGTCCAGTACACAGACAACGATGCACACCAATTATTTTTGCGCTTCAAACCATTTCGTGATTTGTGCCAAATCATGTTAATAGCTAATATAATAGGTCCTTTCAGCTGTAATGACATGGTGGTTTAGCATTTTGTGCTCATGGTGACTGTTGCACACCCCTTTGTTTCCCAGATTGCTTAACGTACGAATTTTAATTAATTTTTGAATGTTAGAATGTATCCGTATAATGTGCAATGGGACAATACATGCATGGGTTAGTAATTTTAAAACTAGACAAGACAGGCACATCTAGTGAAGTGTGCTTTGATCGGTGGATTACAGGGAACAATGCACACCCCTTGGATTTTTAGATTATTTTTGACTGTAATAGTTATTAATTTTTATATTGCAATGGGACAACACACTAAGGGGTTAATATCTATGAAACATAATGAGGCAGCCATGTCCTATGGAGTGTGCATGTACTCCATTTCATACATATTGATAGTTAATTGATAACAAATAAATGATTTATAAATAAGTTGTATTATAAAGTGTGATTTAGGCAGTGCACTGTGGGACAAAGCAAATGTACCGCAGCTGAATTGCTTGATTACGTGTTTAGTCTCATTTAATACATTAACATTAAGCATTTATCCATTGAACAAAAAAAGAAAGCAATAATTAAGCAGGGTTGTGGACCCTTGGGTTGTGTGCAGTCGATGATTCCTATGACCCTTGGGAATCCTAAGAGAAATTGTGTTCAGTAAAAGCAATTTCCCTATGAAAATAGAATATTTTAATGCTGCGATTTACCTGCGATTGCATGAAACCCTTCTTTATTCCGCAGAGCACTTACAGATCCAGCCACTTAAAATTTCCCCTCCAGTCTGGCTGGCAGCCAAATCCCAGCCAAGTTCCATCCAAGTACCAGCCGAAAGGTAGAGCCCCCCTTCTTCTAGGGGTGGGCCTATATTTGACTATAAACCCGCCCATTCATTCACTTGCAGGGTGATACCATTAGATGGCGCTTTCTTTACAAAAACTTTACTTTTCTTTTTACAGGGTTAAATGATTGA